TAAAATTGACCTTTGTGTCTAGCTCTCTCTCGCAATTATTAAAAGCTGTAGGAGTATTTGTTTGATTAATATAGTTTAATAAATCAAGTATTAAAGAATATTTCTTTTCTGTAGTACCTATAGAGAGGATTTTTTAATTAAATTTCTTTTCTCCCCATTGTAATTTATAAGATGGTTCTTTAGAAAGCTCTTAATGCGCACATAGTTAAAAATCTCTCTAGAAGGTAGATTCAGTCTTAATTTTAGACTCGGGAAGTCTTCTATTTGGTCATTCAGGTAGATATTTTTAATACATATATCTGGGTCCATATACCAATTCTTTAAATTTATGTCGATCATTATATTTTCTACAGTTCTAAGAAGAATAGTGTCAGGAATTAAATCTGCAATTCCCAGCTTTCTTTTTAGAATATACCATTCGTTTATTGTTTGTAGAATGATCCTAGATTTATATTCTGAAAAATTGGTCCTTTTCTTAGTATTTGCCCATAATATTGTTTCTAAGTTGGTTATGCCTTCTCTATAAGCTTGTAGTTTATACCACGCTTGTTCCTTGCATTCTATAGCTTGTATATTCAAGGCATGTATTGTTATAATTGCTTGATAGGTATTATTTATTAGCGGATATCCCATACCTCCCCGATGTGGTTTATTCGCTAATGTTAACAAATTAATTCTAGGTTTCTTAGCCTTCCATATGAAATTTGTAAAACTGCTCTGAATTAAATTTAACCAATGTACTGGAACTTTAAGAGGGATCATACGGAACAAATAGATCAATTTTGGGACAATATAGGCCTTAATTGTGTTAATTCTACCCCACCAAGATATTTCATGGGTCCTCCATTCCTTTAATAGTCTATTTGTTTCTTTTAAGAAATTGATTTCCATCAAACGTGCCACATCTGTTGTCAGTAAAATGCCTAAATATGGAAGCTGTGTAGTTGACCAGTTAAAAGAATAGTTTTGTTTTAATATTTTTAACCGCGTGTTTCCTATATAAGTTGTTAATGCCAGTGTTTTATTAATATTCATTTTATAGTTGGAAACCTCGCCATATAATAGTATCTCCTTCATTAATAATGGTAACGATTGTTCGGGCTCTGTAATTGTCAATATCACATCATCTGCATATAGGCAGATCTTTAACTCTTCATTTGGAATAGAAATTCCTTTTATACCTATACTTTGTCTTATTTTACATGCTAAAGGTTCCACTGACATAATATATAAAAGCGGTGAGAGTGGGCAGCCCTGTCTCGTGCCATTAAGGATATTAAGCCATCTAGATCTTAAATCTCTGCTCATTATTCTGGCTGATGGCACCGAGTATAGGGCCTCCACTGCTCCCATAAACCAACCTTCAAAACCCATTTTTAGCATCGTCTGTTTTAAAAAGTCCCAGCTGACCCTGTCAAACGCCTTTTCGGCATCAATTGAGAGGGTCAGCAGGGGCACCTTTGTTGACTGAGCCCAGTCCATTATTTCTATCATTCTTCTAGTGTTATTGTTAGATTGTCTTCCTGCCACGAATCCTATTTGATCCCTATGAATAATATCCGGCAATACTGCTTGAAGTCTATCTGCTAAAATAGCAGAATATAATTTTACATCAACATTTATTAATGATATCGGGTGGTAATTCGATAGATCTGTAGGGGATTTATTCGGTTTTAATATCGGGCTAATGTGTGCTCTTAAAAAAAGTCAGCCGAGGCATAACCTGCTTTAGATATTTCATTTATTTTCTGAATTCTTCTGCTATATCTTCCGTTTTGAAAATATTTTCACCTTCTACTATTAATTTATAGATTTTCCTTTCCAGATTTTGTTTTTTTAATCTGTTTGTTAATATAGAATCTACTTTATTATTTTTATAGTAGAAGTTTATTTTCAATTTATTTAAATTTCTTTGAATTCTAGCCTCAATTAATTTATTTATATTTGTTTGGCAGATCTTAATCTTTTCTAATCTCTCAGGGGAGAAATTCTTTTTATTTAAAGTTGATAAATTATAATATTCTATGTACAGGTCTGATAGTTTATTCTCTCTTTTTATTTTTTATTGACTCACTAACTTAATCCAGTAGCCTCTTATCATTGTTTTAAATGTACACCAAAGACATTCTTTAGTAATATCGTCTGTTGAATTTTCTTTTAGAAATAAATCAATCAATTTGGTCATAGAATCAATATTTTCCTTTGAGCATAAGAGCTTATCATCTAGTCTCCATATTGGCGGAATTTTTTTTTTATCCCTTCTGCAACTTCTACTAACACTAGATCATGATCAGACCAAATATTCTCTTTTATATTGATCGAAGTTAAAAGTTTAGAAAAGTTATTATCGCCCAGAATCAGATCAATTCTTGCCGCAGAACCATGAGGGATAGATCTATGAGTGTAGTTTTTCTCATTTGCATGCATTAATCTCCAACAGTCAATTAGTTCAAATTTATTTACTATTTTATTCATCTCTTTAGCCTGTTTTATTAAATTTTGACTTATTTTTTGATTGTCGCCAACTTGTTTGTCCATAGTAGGATCTAGTACGTAATTAAAATCCCCTGCTACCACTACTTTCCCTTTTTTAACCTGTTCCATTAACCTTAGTATCTTATTTAATAACCTATTTGTATGTTTGTTTGATAAGTAGACATTTACCAATGTGTACATTACTCCGTTTAAAAGGCCGACAAGAATTAAGTATCTCCCTTCTATGTCTGCGTTTTGATATTGACACTCAAATACTGTGTCCTTAGAGAACATAATAGATACTCCACATTTTATTTTCTTCTGATGGGATGCAATATAGACTGTTGTAAATTTTTTATAATGCCATAGACAATTATTTCTAATCAACCAGTGAGTCTCCTGGATAAATCCCACTTTAACATTCTCTCTATTCATAGCGTCATATAGAAACCCTCTTTTTACATGGGAGTTTAGGCCTTGCGCATTTAAGGAAATAAGTCTAATCATTTAGCATTTTGTGCATTAATCCATCTGAAATTCTAACCCAAATCCACAAAACATACAACAACATTAATCTCATTCATAACCCAATAAAAATTCACCATTCTCTTGGATATCCCAATGAGATCCAAGGTCTGGGTACCTTCTTGTGTACCCTATGGAGGACATCACTCATCCCGCAAAAGGAACAAAATAGAGACCTCAAGAGCCTCTATATATATATATATATATATTTATTTTAAACTCCCAACTCATTATATGAATAGGAATGGTGGGGAGGGAGTATATCTTGGCTAAATTTATATCATATATATATATATATATATATATATATATATATATCTTATTTTATTTTAAGGAGTGTAATTTTTCATACTAATGGGCAAGGAAATGCTTTCTCTCTCATCTTTCCCTTTTTTTATGAGCATTTTTAAATGTATTTTTTTACTTTTTAAAACTATTTTTTAAACTTTTTTTGCTTATTAATTTTTTTAAACTTTCTTAAAATTTTTATGTTTGTACAGATTTAACATTTTTATAAGCTTTTTTTTTTTTTACCGTTAACCCCTAACTAGCAGTAAGCAGCACTAACGGTAAATTCCCCAATTTCCCATAACTCCCACCCACCCCAACTAGCAAAATATATCATTTTAAAATATTTAAATTAATCAATTAAATAAATTGAACCCCCGAGGGTTAAAAAAATAAATAAAAGTTAATCCGAAGGGGTTAAAAAAAAATTAGATCACAGTATAATACTGTGATCTGTATTTTGATCACTGTAGGCAGTGATCGACTGGCAGGGAAGGGACTGATTTTTATTTGTACTGGGTAAAGGGGGGTGGGATTTATTTTTTTACTTAAACGTTATTAAAACATTTTCTTAACTTTATTTTAACTTTCTAAAGCTTATTTTAAAACTTTTTAATGTTAACCCCTAGTTAGCCTAACACCAAATCCCCCAATTCCCCACTAACTTTCACCCACCCCAGCTAGCTAAATATATAACTTTAACATATTTAAATGAATTAATAAAAAAAAAAAATTAACCCCTGAGGGTTAAAAAATAAATAAATAAATGAACCTTCAGGAGTTAAAAAAAATCAATCAAAAAAAAAAATAAAAAAAAAAATCAGATGACCGTAAAATGTAATCCCTGAGCATTGCTTTTTTAGGAATTAAGAGGCTAAGTAGCAGACAAGTGCTGCTAACCAAAAACCCTTGATTAATTGATCATCAGCTGCCTATACAAAAGCCAAAGTTTTAGCAGTTTGCTGGTCTGGAACATTCAGGTGTGTGTTAACACAATGCCAGGGAGGAAAGACATCAGCAATGATCTTAGAGAAGCAATTGTTGCTGCCCATCAAATTGTGAAGGGTTTTAAGACTATTTCCAAACGCTTTAATGTCCATCATTCTACAGTGAGAAAGATTATTCAAAAGTGGAAAATATTCAAGACCATTGCCAATCTTCCCAGGAGTAAATGTCCCAGCAAATTCACCACAAAATCAGACTGTTCAATGCTCAGAGAAATAAAAAAAAAAAAAAGAGTTATACCTCAGGCTCTAAAGGCCTCAGTTAGCATGTTAAATGTTAAAGTCATGACAGTACAGTTGGACAAAGACTAAACAAGTATGGTTTGTTTGGAAGGGGTTGCCAGAAAAAAACCCAACTAATTTCCTCTAAAAAGAACATGGCAGCATGTCTAAAAAGAACATGACAAGTTGCATCTGAGCAAATCACAAGACTTCTGGAACAATGTCTTTCGGACAGACCATAGTGGAGATGTTTGGTCATAATGCATAGCGCCACATTTGGCAAAAAAGAACAGCATATTAGCACAAAAACCTCATACCAACTGTCAAGCACAGTGGTGGAGGGGTGATTAATTGGGCTCTTGTGAATTGAGGTCTTTGGAGCTTTATTGTGCAATCATACAGGTGTGAGTGCACCTTCCTTAATATTTATATTTTGGCATAAATGATTTGCACCCAGGCAAGGACAAGACCGGGAGAGTGAGTGATTGATCCGTGTGTGTGTGTGTGTGTATATATATATATATATATACACACACACACACACACACACACACACACACACACACACACACACACACACATACACAAAGCATACTACATAAATTTTTTTATAAAAATAATATCAATAATAATTGATATCAAAATATGAATTATATATATCTGTACATCTATCATTTAAAAAAATATATAATATTTATTATATTCTTAATCTATATTTATGAAATCTTTTCACATAATTATGTGATTTTATTAATTATAATTTAAGGAAGCTCTGCAACTTTCCAAGACACCATAAAACTTATACATGGTTTCACATTTTTTTTGTGTGTGAAAAATGCAAAAAACAACGCTAACTGTTTGTGACTGAGTGGGTACTAAGTGGGTACTAAAAAGGACTGGACATACCTCATTTTGAATACTCTGGGTTGTCAATGGTATGCCATAATGGGGATAATTCTCATTATTGTGCTGTCATACAGTCTCATAGGCAATGTAACCAAGCCATATATTTAATCATGTAACTTTCCAAAACACTATAAAACTTGAACATGGGGAGTACTGTTCATACTCATGAGACATCACTGAACATAAAATGTGAGTATTTTAGTGCAGTAAAATGTATAGTGCTGGTAATATAATCGGTAAAAAGGGCATTTTTATGCAAAAAATGCAAAACATAAATATGAACACTAACTTTGGCCAGTGTTTGTGACTAAGTGACTACTAAAAAAGATTGGAATACCCCATTTTGAATACCCTGGGTTGTCTGCTTTTGCAAATGGTATGCCCTGGTGTGTTAATTTTCATTCATGGGCTGCCGTACAGTCTCAAAGACAACATAGGCCCAGCAAACCAATCTGACAAATTAACTGAAACGATGAAAACCCTATATTTGACCCTGTAACTTTCCAAATATCTATAAAATCTGTATATGTGTGGCACTGGTACTTGTGAGATATCGCTGAACACAAATATAAGTGTTTAAGAGCAGAAAGTTGTAACAGTATCATGACATTCACAGTTAAAATATCATGTAGAGCGTGAAAAATAAAATTTCTTATTTTCTCAAACTTTTATTACTATTCAATTATGTTTCATCTAAATTTGAAATGAAAGCCCTGTTTATCCTGAACAAAATTATACATAATAAGTGTGGGTGCACTTAATATGAAAGAGGTGAATTATGGTTGAACAAACGTATGGTCAAATTCTAGGTTTTGTTTTGATTTTGATCAGAACTTGAACAATTGAAGACTATATTAGCTTTAGTGTACTAATAATCTTAATTTTAGTAATGACAGGAGGCGAGTATTTTGCGTAATCCCTCTTTACTAGCTCCACAGCAGCAAAGAAACACATAGAAAAAAACAAAAAGAACTAGTCACAAGAGAGTAGGATGTGCATGAGGTATAATTACCTAATAACTTCCTCTTTCAGAAAGCGACAATTAGAAGCAAACATATAACAAGCAAGAACACTAACTCCTAAATCCAACATCTGTAGGAGCAAACTTCCCGTGAATTCCACACAAACAACCAAAACGTCTTCAGCGACGCGTCAAACTGAAAAGAGAATGTGTGACATGTTTAGACACATAGTCATGTGGAAATACAAGTAACACACAGTATACATCATTCCATAGTAGTAACGTGTAAACTACAATCTAAAACTGAACAAAAATCATATAAAACTCCAATGACCATTCCTTACCAATGGAAATAAAATCATCCATGTAAACACAAAACATTAAGCTCCCAACCTACCTTAGACCAGTAATACATATAAAGAAAGTGAACATAAAGGGTTGGATAGCAAAGCAGGGTTGGAAAATACTCGCCTCCTGTCATTACTAAAATTAAGATTATTAGTACACTAAAGCTAGTATAATCTTCAATTTTACAACATGACAGGAGGCTTCGTGTTTTACAATTTTAACGCTGAGAAAGAAATAGAAAATGAATGAAGAATCCGAACAGTGCAACGAGAGACATAAATAAGAGGATAGTTGGTACACAAAAGGATCCTTGCCCATCGGGAGTCCCCAGACCGGAGCACGGGTCATTGAACTGTCTGAACTCACAACATAATGGATCGAGGTTCCATTCCAAACACCAACCAGACCGGGAATGCACAGATGGAGAGGCAGCATTGTCGTGTCCCTGGGGCCCAAGAGTTTTCTAAGAGGTCCCTAACAGCCTGCCGTAATCCACTGATCTGCAAAGAACCCCAGAAAGAATCCAGGCCATCAGGGTCAGCTTACCCTCCAGGAATAGAAGAAGTGGGTTCCCCTTCGGGTCCGTGAGAAGAGTCGGGTATGAATGTAAGAAAGTCTGTGCTCCATAAGCTGATCGTCTGCAATAAGTAAGGTAGCCCTCTGGAAGACCCCACTAAGACTCTATCCTGCACAACATCATTTATATTTAATTTAACCACCCTGTATATTTATTTTATATATCCTGTGTGCATTGTATATTTTATTGCCTTTATATCTTGTCTGGCATGATGAAATGTAGTTTTGCTAGCCCTGTATGTAATTGTTATTAGTCACCTATATGCATTCCTCTATAACTCCTCTGATTTCTGACTGACCTCTGACCCCTCCCTTCTTTAATTGATATGTTTGTTTTTATTTGAATAACCATCCCTTCATCTCTGTGCCTAGATACATATCCTCCTCCCTCAGCATTATTGCAAGCCTATCTGACCCTTATACATCTTTATTTAACAGCTTGATTTCAAAACTATCAAGCCCCAATACTGCGGTAAGAAAGTCCCAATTGACACCACCATCTGAACATCAATCTCACATAAACCTCCAATGTCTTGACCTAGAGCATTTCTCCAGTAATCTCCAAACTCTTCTTTTACCCATCTCAAACCTCACCTGTCCTAGCTCTGCAACCTTCTTCTACAATTGCACACTCTCCTCTCAACTAGACATCATGGCACCTCCTACATTTAAACGCAGTAAGTGCCCCCAACAACAACCTTGGCACACCAAGCTGACTCAATACCTCCAAAAATTCTATAGAGCTGCTGAATGCTGTTGGAGAAACTCTTACTGTGCGTCTGACCTTCTCCACTTTAAATTTATGCTTCGCTCATACAGCACGGCTCTTTTCTCTGCAAAAGTAAATTACTTCAATACCCTCATAACCACACTCTCCCATGAACCCAAACGACTATTTGACACATTTAACTCTCTTCTCCCTATTATTCCTCCTCCACCTACTAACTTGACCGCCTCAGACTTTGCAACTCACTTCACTGACAAGATCTCCACAATCAGGGAAGAGATCTCTCATCTTTCTTTTTCCCCATACAATACTTCCCCTAACCTCACTCCCTCTGCTGTTCCATGTTCATTCGCACCCGCTACAGTGGAAGAGGTTTCTGCTCTGCTCCAGTCCTCCCGCCCCACCACCTGCTCCCTAGATCCAATTACCGCATCTCATCTGTACTCTGTCTTCTCTTTCTCTACCTCTCATTAAAATTCTCTCACTCTCCTCTGGCATATTTCCATCGCCCTTCAAACATGAAACTGTAACCCCAATTCTAAAGAAGCCCAACCTAGACCCTAACTCCCGGTCCAACTACCGGCCTGTCTCGTTACTGCCTTTTGCGTCCAAGATCCTTGAAAGAGTTGTGTACGCGAGATTGACAGACTTCCTCAAGTCCAACTCTCTGCTAGACCCACTTCAGTCCGGTTTCCATGCTAAGCACTCTTTGGAAATGACACTGACCAAAGTATCCAATGATCTACTCACTGCAAAATCTTGTCACTACTCTATCCTAATTATCCTTGACCTTTCTGCGGCTTTTGACAGTGTTGATGATCAACAGCTTCTTCTCATCCTCTGCAATATCGGTCTACAAGATATTGCTCTCTCCTGGTGCTCCTCCTACCTCTCCCAGCGCTCTTTCAGTGTTTCTTTCTCAGGCTCTGCTTCTTCTCCCAAACTCCTCTCTGTTGGTGTACCCCAAGGTTCAGTCCTTGTGTAATGACATGAAGGGGTGCTGCCCTGGAACAGCACTGTCACTTTAAATGTGGGAACCAATATAGCAAAGAAATAAAGTCCAAGACACAAATGAATAGGTTAAATCAAGAAATATATATATTTACAGGGAACCAAAGGAGAAAAAATAAAATAAAATAAAATAATAATAATAATAATAATAATAATAATAATAATAATATATATATATATACACATATATATATATACACACACACACACACACACACACACACACACACAAAATATATACAGTAAATCAAAATAAGCACGAATCGTGCAGGCAACAAATACTGTAACAGTCCTTTGGTATAAGGGCAGGATTGTGCAGCTACCACGAGTATCAGGTAGGGCACAGATCCAGAGTCACAAGACTAATGTAGTGACATCAAGAAGCAAGACCAGAAGTCAAATAAATGAGCAAAGCTGCAGGGACAGGATCACTGGTAGTAAAGCAGAGACCACGCAACCAGAGCTCAAGATCGGAGGACACAGCAACAAAGGACCAGGAGGACACAGTAACGCAGGATCAGGAGGACACAGGATGAAGACCAGGAGAACACAGGATCAAGTCACAGTATGCAGGAGCCAGGAACACAGGAAAACAGGAAACAAAAGGCAATGATCTGGCAAGGAGTGAGGGGAGAAACCAAACTAAATAGGTGCTAAACAAGGACCAGGTGAAGTGCTTAATGAAAAGAAATCAGGAACAGTGCCAAACAGAAACAGTGGTGAGTACTGCAGAGGGCAAATCAACTAAGGAGTGTCGTGACAGTACCCCACCCCCCCCTTAAGGAGTGACTCCTGGCGCTCCAAATCCCCAAGGATCCCCAAGAATAGAACCATACAAAAGCAAGGACTGTAGAGAAATGTTTAACATTAGAAGGGCAGACACAGAAACAGAAATTAAAGGCACATACAATAAGAAACACTCATTACCGGTGACTGACAAACGTGCCAACCCACTAGATCTGGGGCTATTACTGGTAACAGGTGCACCACTCAGAAGTCCTGGGTCTGACTTGGTTCCTGGCTTGTAAAAT